GGGGTGTCATACCCGCCAGAGGATTTGTGTTGTTGTACTTGTGCACCTTCTGTGTATTATGCTTTGAAGACTGTGTACATTGTGTATGATGTGTATGAATCTCTGATTCGTCATTTGTATTCATTGTGAACACTCGTGCCTCGAGCACCATCACATACCAACAAATACTAATAATAAAAATCACAAAAAATAAAATGAGAATTAAATTTAGTGAGACTCAGTGCGCGAGCAAGTTTTTTACAGCCCCACCTTTGGCAATTTTTCATTTTTTTTTAGTTATAGCCAAATGCCATGAGAATTTACAGATGTGTACTTCACATAATACAAAACCCACTAAAAACGTTTCAAAAAATAATAAAATTGTTTAGACCCCGACCTAAAATAAAAACAAAAAGTAAAAAGTGAAAAACAAATGCTGGCGAGCTTGTTTTGACACCGCCATATTTGACGAATCTTAATTCTTATTTGGCTCAGCCAAATGATGTCAAACTTCATGGGCATGTGCCTTACGTCATAAAGAACGCAAAAAAAAAAACTTCAGAAATAACAAATTAGTTTCAGGCCCCGAAATATTTTTTGGCGGGGGCCGAACGCCTTCGGTTTCGGACCCCGAACGGAACCCCGAAGACCTGTACGTACGGGTTGGTGACCTTGTATATATATATATATATATATATATATATATATATATATACAGGGTTACCTGACCGAACTTCGGGGGCCTCCGGGCTAGCCCCCGAACGTTCGGGCGTTCGGGGTCCCGTTCGAGGGCCGAACACGTCCAGGTTCGGCCCCCGCCAAAAACGTTTCAGGGCCTAAACATAAGTTTTTTTTTCTGAATGTTTTTTTGTGAGTTCTCTATGATGTAACCTACACGCCTATAAATTTTGAAGCCATTCTCTTGAGCCAAAAAAACATTAAGAATCGTCAAAGATGGGGGTGTCAAAACGTGCTCGCCCACTCACTATTTTGTTTTTTTTTTCACTTTTAACTTTTTGTTTTCACTTTTTTTCGGGGCCTTAAAAATTTTATTATTGTTTGAAAAATTTTTAATGAGTTATTGCTTATGTAAAGTACATATATGTAAATTTTCAGGGCATTTGTCGATGCCACAAAACAATTAAAAATCGGCAAAGATGGGGGTGTCGAAAAGGTGCTAGCACACTCACTCATTTTAATTCTCTTTTTATTTTTTCTTATTTTTATCTCAGTGTTTATTTTCTGTATCACTCTGACCATTTCCAGAACGCCGGAGCGCTTTGACGTCTGACCCGGAACAAGACCTTCAAAAATGTAATCGCTGTACTTATATTCGACTATCAGTCTATTCTATGCCTACTCATTCGGAGTCGAACCTGGGTCTGATTGTACTGGGCCTCCTCTACAACATATCTCTGTTCGCCCGTATGGTCCTTACCCCATAGTGGCGTATCGTCACACCCTGACAAACCACATAGGCCCGTGCTACAAACAGATTCAAATTCGAACATTACCCCTATCCCTTTGCCCTGAGTTCTTCTACAACCAGTATCGTCATACCCTGGCAAACTACACAGACCCATGCTACAAACAGATTCAAATTCGAACACTACCCCTATCCCTATATGCAGTCAACACAAATCACATCACTCTATTATTATCAAAACACATAACAATGTTTGAACAAAGGATGTAAGAACCAATCAGTGTCAAATCAAACATTCACACCATACTATACAAATCGCCATAGAGTCCTTAATATATTGAGTCCCCATATCCAAGGACATTCGAATAATGCATACCTAATTGTGTACAATGCTGCAGAACATCTAGATCCATGCATGTTAAGACGAATCAAGTCAAATCAGACATGCACACCACTCTGAACAAACTTAGCAGCGGGCTACACACCACAACACACAAAATCCAATCTACGAGTCCGCCTCTCGTAGCGATAGCGCTATCTATCCTATGGAGTGTTGACCGATATCGGCGTTGTCTCCTTCTCGCAGTGCTCCTACTCGGCTACTCTGTGCACCTCCGTCTTCATCGTTCGTAACTCATCCATTTCCTAGTTGATTCCCATATCTCTCCGCGTCCTTCGTGAATCTGTTCAGCACTCTCGAGACGAAATCATCTGGGTAGTCTTTCATCCTCAGCTCCCTGCTGAATGTAAGCACTCATAGTGGTATCTCAGTCCATATCGTTGTATTGGCGTCGACCCTGTGCAGACAGCTTGCTACAGCCACGCTCTTTTGTTGCTTGCTTCCCCACAAGTTATAACTTTGACCGTTTTTAAACTCCAAAGTTTCCTTCTCCCAAATCGTTTTCTCGTTTTTCGACATTTGCATACAGTTGAGGTGTGGATGTAACCGCTCAGCCCTCATCTCCAATCTCAGGAATTCCCACGTGCCCTGTCCGTCGTCTGTCCGTTTCAGCGTCGGATTACTTGGGTAACATCCTTCAGAGCCTTCTTGGATCATCGTCACATTTGGACCTTCGCCTTGCTTCGAGTTGATGATAACACTCACATCGTCCATCAACCGCATTCCGAAGACGTTACTTTTTTCTTTGCCCAAACTTATCAAAAACTTGAATTCTGAGTATGCACACCAGATACACGCCAGCGGTGGGCTGGTACTTTTACCCATCGAAATTCCGACTGTCTGCTGTAGGAGCACCTCTGTGGCGTTGATGTATGTGTGGTGCAGATCAATCTTCACGAATTTCCTGATATCTTCTAACTTGAGAAGCTGCCAGTGGTCTGCTCCAGTGGTCTTGCCAAACGCGCTTCCTCTTTTCCACGTGTTAACTCGTATCGTAGTCTGACGGCTAGTTACCGATTTCAGATTGAAATGCCAACTCGCTGGCAGGTGGAACAACATGTGGTTAAGAGCTTTAGCCACACTTTTTCCCGTTCTTACAGTTGGATCGGTGTACGACGGGCAGATTGGTCGAGACCTGTCAATGTCTTTGTGTTTAGGCTGCACATAAGTTGCTCCAATCTTCCTCTTCGTCTCCATTCTTGAGAATCTCCCAATACCTTCTTCTTTGAACGTACTCTGCATCTCCTTCTTGACTTCTGTCTCAGTCTTCGTCACAATACTGTATCCGGGACTTGTTAGGAACATCGCCATCATGACCTCATATTATACATATGGGCACATAACCATCTTCTCTCCTTGATTTTTGTCCAGCAGTGTCAGTACCATTAGCTTCAACCTCTCTTTAATCTCCCTTACCACCGAGATGTCAAGGTAATTGCCTCCTTGCACTTCATCTGTCATCACACAATGTTTGACTTCGCTCAGTCTCACTTGGACAACCTTGTCACCTCGATTCTTCCATGACTCAAACCCCTCTTTGATCTCTTTTCTTAACAATGTCATACTCAGTCTATCCGGATGTTGCGACTTACTAGGCACATTGCCAGCGTTACATAGCATCGGATGTATGCCTTCCAGTTCCTGTAGGCGAAAACGTACGTGTTCCCCATCCCTTGGATAAGGAAGACCTGTGCATGTGCAGGTTGACAAAACCATGCGAGAGAATCTTCGCTGGTTTTGTATCAATTCCCCTACAGACGGGTTTTTCACCCATACTGTACGGACCTTGCTCCTAGTACGTTTCGCCATGCAGTCAAGCATGTTGAGTTCTTGTATCTTCTCGTTTACGACTTTCCTAACTTCCGCCAGTTTGACCCTATCATCGTACTTTACCCGTATGACTAGATCTGCGTCCATCAACCATTGGCTCTTTTGTTTGATCATCCTCCGTATAATTCTCCTTAGGTAAGTTCTTGTCGACTTTTGATGAAAGTCCTTGGTCGCCTTGTAGAGTCGGAACAGAGTATCGACTTCTTCTGCACCCAATAGTTATACCTTCGTCGGGTTACGGAGTACTTCGATCAGGCGTTTCTTGTCGGGGCTGATTTTTTGAACGTCAGAAAACATTCTTGATGTTGTTTCATCCGTTCGACCAGCTGTTACCCCCTGTTGAGTGCAATTTGAAGGTGCGCTTTCCTTGCTCATCACAGTCATCCAACACACCGAAGATGCTTAGGTGCCATTCTCTGTCTTCGTCCACTCGTACCCGTACCACATGCACGGGTCGTCCATCATTTACCACCACCTCTACCTTATGCCGATTCCTCTACTTTTGGCCTTTGCGTGCTTTCTTCTTCCTCCTCGGCTTCTTTACCACTCCACTAACATTAAGTACAGGTGACCATCTCCTAATGTATAACTGTTTCAACTGTACTAATTCGTGCGTTTCACACTCGTTCATCGGCACTATCGTGTACGTCTGGGTTCCAAACGTCCTTAACCACCGATATAGGTGGGTGTTCTTCTCCAATCTTGTGCAAGCGGCCATGTGTTCACGCCATCGTACCTCCACATCCCTGTTCGTATGTCCCACGTACAGAGTTTGGCGTCGTGAAGATGCAAGCACATATACTCCTTTGTGCTTATGTAAGAATCCAATATCGTGCTTCTTAAACAATTGCATCCATGATGACGTGAATTTTGCAAGCCATCTAATTTTTCCCATGATTCCCAATAGTACTACAACAGCTTGATACAATTTTTCGATCTTCCTATCGTACTTAGACTGCTTGCGATGGTTGATCAGCCAATGACATAGAGCCCACAATTTCGAACTGTCCAAACCAGTTCACTCGTCCTCTCCATCATCGCTTGCTTCATCGACACTATCCATAGTTTCGTGCACGTCTTCAGCTTTCCCTTCTCCTTCAGTATCCGCTTCTCCATAGGCTTCTTCGACTCTCTTCTCCGCAATGTTAATCACGGTTATCACTTTATTCCCGTACTCCACCTCATCACGCTTGCACATTCGTTTTAAATCCTCGGCCTGGTACTCTGCGAGTACCCTCATATTGTCGCCTATGAACTTTGCACGAGTTGCTGATCTGATCTTCGCAGCAATCTTCGTCGTAGGAGTGCCCTTCCGCTGTGTATATCTTGTCGGCGTTCTCGTGGTCTCACCATGTGCAGTAAACTTCTTAGTAGTCGTGCCTGTAGCTGCTTGAAGTTTAGTGGCTAGCTTAACAGGTTTCACCCCCGTTTTCCTTGGCGTCCTCTTCGGAGATAGCGTGACAGGCGGGCTGTCACCGACTGGTCCATCCGGGCTTCGCTTCCTCTTCTCCGATATCACGAGCCTCTCAGCTTTGTTACTTAATTCCTCCACTTCGCTCACCCCCCGGTCACTGGTATATGAGCCAGTGGATCCTGATGGAGAAGCGGCCCGTTGCTTGCCTTTCAATATGCTTTGAAAGTCCTTCATGTTCCTCCTCATTTGGTCTTGCATCTTCTCTTGGAACCCTCCTATGCACATGGCAACGTCCATTCGCACAACCTTGGTAAACTCTAACTTATCTTCCTTAGGCTCCTTCTTCTTCTTTTCCGCTGCCCTTCTAGCCGCTCGCTCTTCCTTAGCTGCACGCTCGGCTTCCTTTGCCCTGAGTTCTTCTTCTTCTTTCCTAGCCCGTTCCTCTCTCTCCATTCTCTTTCTCTCCTTTACTTCTTTCTTCCTATTCTCCTTCTCGATATATTCCTTGAAGCATGCAAGGGAACTGGCTAGTCCTTCGACGGTCTTCTTTACTTCCTCATCAACTTGCGAAATCGGCTTCGGTCCGCTTGATGTGTTAGCGCCTCCCTTTGAAACTCCTTCGTCGTTGCGCTTCCATCATTGGTTCTTGTAGTGTCCCAACTCCCCACAACTGTAACAGGTTGGTGGACCCCGACGTTCGTAGTCGACACTGCTGTGTGATCGTTCGCCTCGATCGTATCGATAGTCATCCTGGCTTCTTCCTCGGTACCTTAGCCTTGCTTCATCGCGTCTGTCGTCTCGCCCGCGGTCGTTGTTGTCCCAATGATCGCGACTCGATTCTCGTTGATTGCAGTCACCCATCTTATCGCGATCGTGGCCTTTGATGGTTCACCGACTATCGCGTCGAGTTACAAATCCTCCTTACTCCTTCACTTGTTACCAACTCCAAAGTCTTACACGCTCACTCTCGCCCAACAAACGTCTCCAGGCTGGTTCACGTGCGTAGTACGTAGGTATGTAATGGTGCTCGAGGTATGAGTGTTCACAATGAATACAAATGATGAATCAGAGATTCATACACAGCATACACAATGTCCATAGTCTTCATAGCATAGTACACAGAAGGTGCACACAAGTACAACAACACAAATCCTCCGGCAGGTATGACACCCCGACCGGTTTCGACCGCCGCCACACGGTCTCCTTAGGGGGAAATCCACCTGCATCACCCTAAACTGCGCTGTTGTCTTCCCCAATCCCACCTCCGTCTCTCTCACTTCGACCATTTCCAGAACAGCGGAGCACTTTGACGTCGCTTTATCCGTATTTTACTTTTATTTCAAATTTGGTAAGGAATTTGGATGTAATGCTCAGGCAAATCTTGTTTAAATTATTTTTCTTCATAACATATTGTGTTTTTCAAATTTGTTCGCGTTCGGCCCGAATGGCCGAACGCATCGCCAAGGGGTTCCATACGTTTAGGCGTTCGGGTTCGGGTGTTCAGCCCGTCCCGAACGCCAGTTGCTCTCTCTCTCTATATATATATATATAGTGAAACAAAGTTGTCCGGTAAATTGTAGGCAGAGAGGGAGAAAAGGACAACAAACGAGGGGTTGTGACAAACTGTTTCGTTGGGCAACCTCTTGATGAGTCAGGGAAACTCCGATGAAATAGTTTGTCACTTGTTTGTTGTCGTCTTCTCCCTCTCTGCCTACGGTTTACTGGACAACTCTGTGTGACGATAAATATATATGTATTATATATATATAATATCATATATATAATGTTATACATATATATACATTTTCACCAGCCTACACGTACGAAGGTCCCCGGGCCAACCTCTGTACTTACAAGCGTTCGGGGTCTCATTCGGTGCTTGAACCGGAAGGCGTGTGGCCCCCGTCAAAACTTATTTTGGGGCCGAAAAATAAGTTTTTTCTTCTGATTTTTTTTTTTTTGAGTTCTTTATGATGTGAGGTACGTGCTACAAAGTTTAAAGTCATTTTGCTCAGCCAAAGAAAAATTAAAAATCTCCAAAGATGGCGGTGTCAAAACGTGCTTGCCCACTCACCATTTGTTTTTTTTTTCACTTTTTATTTTTTATTTTCACTTTATTGCGGGGCCTAAACAATTTTTTTTTAATTTTTTTTAATGAGTTTTGTATTATATGTTTTATTTCGATTTCACATTTGGTATGTGTTCGGATGTCATGTTCAGGAAAATGTTGTTTATTTGATTTTTCTTCATAACATAGTTTTTTAAAAGAATTTTTTGAATTGTTCTGTTTTTTTTTTTAGTCCATGTTCGGCCCGAACAGCCGAACGCATCCCCAAGGGGTCCCGTACGTTCGGGGGTTCGTCCCATCCCGAACGCCGGTTACGAAACGAGGGGCTCTGACAAACCTATTTCGTTGAAGTTTATGTATAGTAAAACAGAGTTGTTCGGTAAACCGTAAGGAGAGAGGGAGAAGAGGACAACAAACGAGGGGTTGTAACAAACTGTTTCGTCAAACTTTCACCGACTCATCAAGAGGCCGGACCCTGTATATATACATTCGCAATTGCAATCAGTACCTCTTCACCCTACTCTTGGCGCGAGATCAAGTTTGTTTATTTGGCTACTTGTGCATTTTGACTTCGTATTTTGAGACTGTGTCTGTTTCTAGGCCTGCACTTCCTGCTTTCTATTTCTCAGACCCTAAACCTTGCGCTGCCCAGTGTTCTTTTGTTCCTTACCCCTCTGGATCTTTTGTTCTTTACTCACCTTACACCTGCATGTGTCCCAAATATTACATCCCTTTGGACTCGGCCCCGACACTGTTTAGCCCTGAACTAGCCTGTTCTCCAGGCATTCACTACCCTCTTGGACTGGAAAGCCTTCTCTCCCTTATTTCCCAGTTATCAAAAACACTTCTGTTCGACCAAACTCATGGGCAGGCGAGGGAAATGGTTTGGGAAATTTGAGAGTTTTCATGTTCTCTATAATCATCCAGTGACTCTTAGTCTTCTGATGAGCATTGATTGGAAGTGCGTGAAAGTAATACCAAGTCTCTTCTCGAGTCTGTATAGGTAGAGACAATTGAAGAAACACTCACGAACACACACGCACACACGCACACACGCACACACACACA